TATTGTCTCAAAATTCAATGAAAATTGGTTGGGAATAAAAGTGGTGTATGACTATGCCGAGTCATGGGTAATTTCGAAAGTGTATGAAGAGCACAAGTGCATAACCACCCCATGAGTCCTACAAAAACTAGAGCTTTTCGATGTAATCGAAGATTGACTATGCATATGAAGAGAACACTTGAAATATATGATGTAGCAGGAATTAGGCATGGACCGGTTTCGGGCCGGGCTCTGGGCCGGTCCAAACCGGGCTTTTATATTTTGGGGGCGGGCCCGGAGCCGGCCCAGAGCCGGCCCGGTTTGCAATCGGGTCCGGGCCGGTTCATTTTTTTTTTTTACTTTTCTAATTAACCCCTGACCCGACCCCCCCCCCCCCACCCCCAAACCCCCCGAAACACCTAGCCCAACCCGGGAAAAACAAAAAAAAAAATTGAAAAAAAAATAGGCCCGAACCGGCCCCCGCCGGCCGGTTCCAAAGGAAGGGTAGGCCCGGAACCGGACCGCTCTAACACACCGGGCTAGTCCGGGCCCGCACAGTGACTGATCGACCAGGCCGTCTAGAACCGGTCCATGTCTAGCAGGAATACCTCTTCACAACAAAAAAATTCAACTATGCCGTAGTAGAAACGGGTGGATATGAACAATTACCTTTCATTTAAAAGGATTGTAGAAACTATATTGACAAGGTTCCACATTTTTTAGGTAGTGGTGAAGTCATGACAATTCAAACTTTCTTTTGCTCATTTAAAAGGATTGTAGAAACTATATTGACAAGGTTCCACATTGTAACGGTAACGGTAATGGTAACGGTAATAAATCTAAGTTAGAACTTACACATCTTTCAATGTAGCGGTAATAATCTTTAATCTTAAGTATCCACGCGATTTCTCTTTTTTCGAAAGAATGGTTAAATCTTCCAAACAGAAATAGACTAGGAGATCTCTTAATAGGGAAATAAATTAGGAAATAAATTTGTAATACTAAATCTTAAAAATTGGTCTGCGAATTATCATTTATTAAATAAATAGATAAAACAAAATAAAATCAAATATCAATTTATTTAATTTTCTCCATTCTCGTTGTTTAATTTTCCTTTTAATTCCAAATTAAAAGAAAATATCAATTTATTTAATAAAAAAATACATCATAATTATGTATAATAAATCTAATTTATCTTACTTAATTAATTAAATCAAATAGAACTCTCCTTCAACCGAGAAAACAAAACTAATCAAAGGGGTGAAGCAACAGCGAGACCTGCCGTTTACAAGACAATTGAGGTATTTAGCCGGCGTCTCTAAAGTAATATACCCCTCTTAAGTCTTAATCATCAAAAGCTATAGTTGTTTGACTTTGTTTATTTAATGAGTAATATACCCCCTCTTAATCATCAAAAGCTATAGTTGTTTGACTTGGTTTATACAAGTGAAATGATTATATAATGGGCAATGGTATAGTAAAATGATAGAGATGAGTGAAATGCCCTCTTAATTCAAAAGGGCAAATAACCTGTCTCAATAATGTCAAATTGTTATTCCAACTTAACAAGTGCGCAAACAATCCACCCAATGTTTCTCAAGGGCCAAGTAATTAACTAACAACCAATTTCAAAAACACTAAAAAATAGTTTCTTTCCTAGTTTCTAACAATTCAATCTAGATTGCCAACAATGATTACATGTGGTCCATACATTAATCATCAGTGAGGGAGTTACTGGAGTAGGTCTAGCATGTCAATATAGTTGCTGGAAACGGTTCATATTATTTGTTTTAGAAGAAAGGCGATGGAGACACAAGCAAAGAACGTCCACCCGCACATAATATCTCGTGGAGGGTATGCACTCCTTAAGTATCACAATCTGATCCTCAATGGGTGCTTAGTGATCCAACATCCCCGACGAGACTGCAAACTTAGAAAGTAGGTCGAGTACAAAAGTGGAGTGTTTTGTCATTGGGGACAACTTAAGTAAAAATGACTTAAGATGTTTATGTGGTAAATGTTTGATAGGATTTGTTAGAGAAACAAAGAGTCGGGGAACCTTTGTTCCTAAAGGACGTAATGATAGAATCACCACCTGTCTAGGTCCATAGCACCCTGGCCGTGTACGCACTACCGGAGGAGATGTTAGCCTTAAAGATTTATGTGTCGTTATCTCGTAATAGTACTGACTCAAAAGAAAAGTTGCAAGAGGTGATGGAGAGTTTAAATAGAGACTTCCAAGAAGAATGGAAAAGAGAAATTTATAATTATATGCATAAAGATATCCTTAAGGAGCTTCGTCTAAAAAATAAAAGAAAATAATATCTCTCATTCAAGGAAGAAGACCGTACCATTCCGAGGCTTGTAAGCACGAGAGGAAGTAATTATTCCTGAGTTTGATGTTGATGATGAAGAGACAATGATGATAATCTGTATGAGTTGTTCATTGATGCTCCACCTCCCTTCCGTTTAGTTGCGAAGGGAAAGATATGTGATTTGGGAGACACAATTCAACATTAAACAATTGGCCCCGAATATGTGAGAGTGATGGTTGTTAAAGTTGTAGAAGCAAACACTTCGGTCCCAATCTCTAAGGGAGAAGTTCAAACAGTGGGGCAGGCTCCTAAAAACTTAATCGAATGGCCAAGAAGACTGTTAAAGGATGTCAAATCACAGATTTCATTACTATATACAATTGTTAATGTATATACTTTTTAGCAATTTTCTTTAAAAATTATGTATGCACTGTTACCTTATTTAGGATAAAAAGGATTCACCTCAGTTCAAGTCCGAAGGTGTAGATGATTCTTTGTTGAATTTGTGCTTATTTGCTAGGAGATTAGGGTCAGACGTTGTACCGGTATATTTGCTTGAAGATGTGATAGGACGTGCTCATATGGAAAACAATTGTAGTTTTAGAGAATTGATTGCATGGGTAGAGATCTGCTTAGTGCCATTATTTTACAAGTGTGAATATTATAAGTTACATGATTACATATATTTTAAGTTTACTTATTAAATCAATTAAAACAGTATTTTATTTACATGAACTTTTTGTGTTAGATATCTACACCGCTTGTGCATATCCACAAGTAAGGGTCATGTGTATGAATTCATTGACCCACACACCATTCAAGGAGTAAATAATTTGATAAATGAGGTGCGAACTTTTATGTCCACAAGATTAAATGAAGGCGTAAAAGGGAGCTAAGTAACATTGTTTTCCGTCTTCATTTAACATTGTGTATATATAACTTTGCACCTCATTTATCGAATTTCCTACTCCTTAAATGGTGTGTGGATCAATGAATTTGTACACATTATCAATATTTCCATACATGCACAAGCAGTGTAGATATCTAACACAAAAAAGTTCATATAAATAAAATACTATTTTAACTAATTTAATGAGTAAACTTAAAATAAATGTAGCTTACAATATTCACACTTGTAAAATAGACACTAAGTAGATCTATACCCGTGGATACTTCAACCAATTTTCTAAAAATACAATTGCTTTCCATGGGAACACGTCCTATCACATCTTCGGGCAAATACACTGGTAGAACGTCTGATCCCAATTTGCTAACAAATAAGCACAAATTTGACAAAGGATAATCTACGTGTTTGGACTTGAATTAGGGTGCATCCTTTATACCTAAATAAGGTAACCGTGCATACTTAATTTTTAATGAAAATTGTTGAAAATTCTATACATTAACGATAATATATAGTTATGGAATCCGCGATTTGACATCCTTTAATGGTCTTTTTGGCCATTCAATGAAGTTCTTAAGAGATTGTCCCACCGTTTGAACAACTCCATTTGGAATTGGAACTAGAGAGCGCTTCCTTCTACATTTTAACCACCACTCTCACATTTTCGGAGCCAACGTTTTGATGATGAATTGTACCTCCCAAATCATATATTTTCCCTTTTCAACTATACGAAAGGAAGGCGGAACATCAATGAACAACTCATAAAGATCATCTTTGTCGTTACTTTCATCACCAACATCAAACTCACGAATAGTATTACTTCCTCTCGTGTTTACACGTCTCAGGGTGGTATGATCTTCTTCCTTAGAATGAGAGTTACTATTTTCTTTCATTTCTCGGCGAAGCTCCTAAAGTATATTTTCGCACATCTCATTATAAATTTCTCTTTTCCATTCTTCTCGGAAATCTCTTTTCTAACTTTCCATCACCTCCTGCAACTTTTCTTCGCGATAGTACTCTTACAGAATGGTGACACATAGAAATCTCTAAGGTCAACACCTCCTCCGGTAGTGCGTACACGACAAGGGTGCTCTGAACCTAAAGATGTGGTGTTTGTATCATTACATCCTTACGGAACAAAGGTTCCCTAACGCTTTTGTTCCTCTAACAAATTGTGTCAAACATTTACCACGTAAACCACAATAAAAAACACCACAAGTTATTTTTACTTGAGCATCAAAAAAATTATTACCATCTTTATAGCAACTCCAGGTCCTCAACTGTTTGCTTATGAGGAAACACTCCACTTTTGTTCACTCAACCTCCTTTCCAAGTTTGCACCCTAGTGGGGATGGTGGATCACTAAGCAACACTGAAGGATCAAATTGTGATTCTTCCATTCGTTTCCTCAACTATTCTTCTTTGAGCTTTTTCTTAAGGAATGCATACCCTCCACAAGACATTCTGTGCGGATGGACGTTCTTTGCTTAAGTCTCTATCTCCTTTCTTCTTTTCTCCTATCACAATAAGCAACTATATTAGACTACGATTAAAGTAAATAACAAAGTGGAAGCTTATATATCCACAAGGTTAAATTGCATTGGGCTTCAGATTTATTTGTCTTCTATATCACCTACGAAGTGTAACCATAACGCGGTAGATGTAAAAGAATGAATCGTATGTAACAATTGTGTGGAGTTCAAGAAAACAATGAAACTGTATGCTATCAAGAACTCCGCTAGAGTCATAAGCCAAATAAGGTTTTTATACCAAAATGTTTCGATGAAACATCTAGTTGGCTGATACAATCTAAAAAGACCAAAACATCTAGAAGATTTGTTGTTGCAAAGTTCATCAACATGCACACGTGCAGCATTGAGGTTGGATGAATAGCACAAATGCATGCATCATCTAGTTTGATCGCAGATTGCATCGAGTCTAAATTAGTGGATGCCAATACCATATATAATGCAACAAATATAATGACAGATATGCTAGATGAGTACGGTGTTAAATAGGCTACATAAAAGCATGGAGAGCAGTAGATAAGAAATTGCACAAGCTCAGAGGAAACCCACAAGAGTCCTATAGATTTATGCCCCGGTTCTTGAGTACTGTGAAATAAACTAAACCTGGATCACTTCTGGAATTCAAAGTTCATGAAGACAGTTCATTCTTATACGTCTTCATGACACTTGACGCATCAGTCAAGGGATGGAGGGTTATCAGGAGGCGTTTGATTGGATGCAAAAAGGTAATTTTGCACAGACTTATGGTGCAGAATCATCAAATGTCTTCATGGCACTTGATGCAAAATGAGAATTTTGCAGAGTTTAACTAGACACTTTTGAGCCTCCTGATGATCTCTTGTTCTGGTGCAGAAAAATCTTCTTCGCAACTAAGCGGAAACCAGCAAATTGTAAATAGTCATATGCATCCAATGAGAAATAGACATCCACAAGAGATCCTGGAGTCACTAAGGCATCTAGTTCTGCATTGTCAAATCTGCTGCATGCCAACTTTTGTGCAGTTGACGTTTCCTTGTGATATATCTCTGTGGCCCAGCAGATAATATCTCCATTTAATATGGCGGGTAACCTGCGATTTGAGCATTCAAAGAAAATCTAGTTATCCAAAATAGCTCCTTGCACTAGAATGTTGGGCTGTAAATCAGTAATCTTGGCCAAGTATCTGTCCACATGGGAGGTTAAAATATTGATCTAGCATCAAGGACCTATTCACTTGAACTTACGTCAGCCACAAACCAAACCATAGTGAAACAGACCAGACCAGTCCAAACCCCTAGGATAACAATAAAATACACATAATACCAAACCAGTTCAGACTCGTCCAAATCAAACCGCTTGAACAGATGGGACTAGACCAATAAATTTCAATCTAACAATCTAACAGAACATGCCCTAAATATATTACCAGAACCGTTTTATATGTTCCACTTTTTCCTTTTAAGGAATGTTGCAAATTTTCCATGTAAAGAAACAAAGCAACTCTCAAGTCCACCAGAAATTGTTTAGGAAAAGGCTCAGCCTTGAGTTAATGAATGATATATCAGCCAGCTAAGGCTAGAGTTCATCATTGTTCACTTCTTCTTGAGAACACATTTGATATGAAGACAGGAAAAAACAGATTTAACTTCTTGTAATAAAGAGAAGAAATAAAACTTACTGAAATCGGACAGTAGGGAAAATTTCATAGCCAGGCTTTCTGGAAACTATAGGCCTCCATTCAGAGCTGCTACCTGAATCAACAGAAAGCTTCTGGGCGCGAGTATTGATCGCATCCAGGATCTGGCAGAGGTCGTGTGTTGCGTTCACCACAAAGTTCATCTGTGGTCGACCAGCATAATCAAGAAATTTTGTACTAATTCCAAAACGAACTTTCAAGTTTTTACGACAAATCTTCAACTCAGCATCATGATGTAGTACTTTTATTTTTTGAGTTCCACGATAAAATGGAACAAGGGTTACAGAAAGATAAGGTATAGAAATTTTATTCAATTCCAAGAACTCAGAGCGACCCCTGGGAAGCTCATTTTTAGTTTCTATGGATGACACATCAGAAGAACAACATTCATCATCACTTTTGTCATCTTCTGATTGGAGTGGTTCTCCTTCGATTTCATCAAGAAGTCGGCCCATGTTAAAAGGGTCTGGCATAGAAAAACTGGATTCAACAACATCTTGAACCTCTATCTTTCCACTTAAAGATGTCTGTGATGAAACATCATGATCTGTAGCTTCCCTAATTATCACTGAATGTATCAGATTTTCTTTAAGGTCGGTTGAGGGAGTGCTTGGACTGAGGCTTGTCCCCTGTGGAGAAGATTTACTACGGCTTCTCGTGGTAGCATTAGGAGAAATCCAACTATTCTCTGTGAAAATGTTGGGCAGGCTAGACTCCTGAAGGTAAAAACAGATTTCATCCATAAGGGTTTGGATCCAGGAAATGCCAGGGAAAGAAACTAGAGAGCAAAACCGGAGGGGTATAAAATTTGGGAGGAAATAAAAGATAATCAAACCTGATAAATTTATTTAATAAAATAACTACACTCAAGCACTTCTGTTTTCCTTTTCCCTATCATCTCCGGGGATCCAAACATACCCTAAACGAATACATAAAGCTGATACAAAAATGGTTGAGGGGAAATAATGATGCTTGTAACTCACAAGTCTTAAAGCAAGACTCTTCAAGAGCATGTCTCATAAGTCATACTACCCCCGTCGGCCCGTCCTGTTGAAAGGTTCCCATGACAAAACGGCATGATTATTTAGACAATAATTAAATAATGTAGTTCGAGTATATTTTGAGAAATAATTTTGACAGATATAAAATATAATGGGGTTAGTGTTGATAGCTGTGATGTTATAAATGTAGTCTTTAATATTTAATGATTAATTTGTCATTTAAGATTGTTAATTGTTTCCTAAAATGGAAATGAAAACCTTTATATGGGACGTCTATAAAAGGAAAGTAGGAACCTTTCTATGGTACGGGGGAAGTAACTCATAATTTAATTAATGACAGTGTTTGCCTTACCAAGAACAGTACAGTCGAACAGTACTTCAGAACTTCAAGATTCATTCGAACATCATCTAAACTCCTGAAGTAGAATAACAGAAAATTCCAGGACAGTCAACCATTACAGTCAGATAAAGGTGCTGGAAATGCAACTTTAGAAGAACACTTGATTAAAATCAAATGTGCTCATACTACCTACTTCCATCAAAACTGAATTTATTTAACAGATACATATATTGATACAACAACAACATCCAAGCCTTAGTCCTAAAAAAGGTCGGGGTCAGCTAACATGAACCGACATATGAAATAGGAGCTAAAAAGGGATAAAAAAAGAAGATAAGATAAAAAGGATAAAGAAGATAAGATGATGGGATGGGATGGGATGGGATGGGATGGGATGGGATGGGATGGGATGGGATGGGATGGGATGAGATGAGATAAAAGAGATAAAAAAGATAAGATAAGATAAAAAGGATAAGATAAAGATAAAGATGAAATAAAGATATACTCCCTCTGTCCCATTTTATAAGATATCTTTACTATTCATTTGGTCAACACAAATCACTCTTAATCTCTTACTTTGTACATCAAAATTTTATGGAATTTGAATTATTTTTTGCAGATTTTGTAGCGGGTTTAATGTAGTTTCTGAATATGTAATTTTTTTTCTAAAAATAATTTGAGTGCAGACAGGGATCCGTTTGCTTTATCGTCGGTCAAACATCGTAAACCGAAAAGTATCTTATAATTCGGGATGGAGGGAGTAAAACATAAGATAAAAGAATAAAAAAGGATACGAAAAAAATAAAAAGATAAAGAAGATAAAAATGATAAAAAAGGTGAAATGATAGATTACGACTGCGGAGATCCCCAAAGTGATGGTCACTGTTAGTTAATAACTCAATAACATAAACATGGACTATGATCCTAATTCTTTTTAAGTGGCATATCGTCTATTCGTCTGTCTATACAATATAAGTATGTTAAGCATCGATGTTGAGCTCCCAGCCAACATCTGTCTTTTGAGGTTGTTTCTCGGTTTTTAACACAAACAGTCAATCTTAGACACCTTAACCTAATTCCATAAGCCAAGAAGTGAAGAAAAATAGAAGATGCACAAGCTACATATGTGCCCCACAGGGATGACACTTCCAAATTGTTAACTAGTGCAATGAATAATGCAGACATGCATCTTCTTTATGTTAAGTACAAGGCTCTTCACCTGTGTGTTTGTCGCCCAAGACCAAAATAAGTAGCAAGAGATGCCATCTGCAAGCAAGAATGATGGTCAGTCAGAACTTAGACATATGCAAAGATTTAAGGCTTCAATCTTGTATCTACATAGTAAAATGAAGCGAGAAATCCAAATGGGTCACTGTGACATTAAGTGGAAGTCAAGTTACTGGATTCATTGACAAACCATTCAGGATTTTTTTTGGAAAATAACAAAAGAATTAAAGTAGCAGTCCACTAAATCAATTTTAAATGTGCTGAAGTGATACCACGAATATATTTATGTAGTTTTCTTTCACACTAAGACGCTTGTTACAATCATTGACCTTTAAAGTTAGTTTATTGGGAGCATGTGTACATCATGCCAGGATTAATGCAAACCTCATAAGCACTTCTTCGTAAAATTCTTAAATAAAGCAATTTGTGAAATAAAACTGAAGTAGGAAACTATATCAGCCAGAGGTTCAGAACTCATGTTTATACATGTAATAGTGAAGAGTAAAGACAAGCAAATTATACCTCTTGAAAATAATAAAAAGCAAAGTATAAAAAGAAAAGACACCGACTTTAGCTGTACATCACAATCTCTAGGATTAAACATGATTAATTTTCAGCAAATCGAGAGACTTTAAAAACTTACGAGTTTGCTATTCTTGAAACTTGTTGGGTGAAACATATAAAGCCAGTTACAGCAAAATTAGATCAAGTGGGCAAAAAATGTGGAATGTGTTGGCAAGATTGTGATACCTTCATATCTCCAGCTCTTCGTCCAAACCTTTGGGTCAACAGGGCAAGTGAGTCTATTGTTCCCTTAGGTTCTGGAGCAGGCCTACTTATCCCAGCAAAAGCCTCACGAATCCGCGGGCAGTCGAACTTCATTATGTTGTGGCCTGCCCATATTCTCCCTGTGTAAACCACACAGGCTAGGTTAAAAGTCCTAATGGAACCAACTTTTGCGAAGCACATAGAGATTTATTACAACATATCATATTCAAGTCTATATGATTTCAAAAGGTCCCACCCACTTCCTTGTCTCAGCATGTCAACTCTAAAAGGCCCCAAAGATCCAATCTACTATGTTTATTTAATACAAACTGTTCATCTGTACAACTACAATAAAACGCATGCCCATTGTCAAGCTCTGCTGTTGCTGAGAGCAGGTACCACCAACGAACATATGGAACTTTAATGACGCATCAAGCATGAATCTTCCAATTGAATACTTACCTTAACTATTCAAAAGGAAAGAAAAAGAAAACGTCTAAAACTTACAAGTAAAAAGAAGCGCTTACCATCAAGAATGTCGTAGACCTTGTCAGCAATGTCAGCGAAAGTGGGCGCAGACTCAACGTTGCTTTTGCAGATTCCATTGCTGCGGACGGAGAGGTTGGACGTGAGAGAAGGATCAGCGGGTCGGACCAGAGTGGAGTAACTATCCAGCTCAACGAGCTTCCTGGGGCAAACTAGTATGGACCCGAACTCCACTATCGCGTGGCCCTGCCCGGGCAGGGTCGGTACTATCGTCTCCAAATCAAAGAACACAATCTCCGACCTGTCCCCAGTAATCACCATTGCTCCGAGGGAAAGCAGAGAAGAGAAAAGGGGAAATTATGTGCAGTACCTTGCCGCCCTATGGAAGTATGCACTATGCAGTACTCCGTCATAAAAAGGAGCTTTTGGGATGGCTTCTACTTCACAAAAAAAAAAAAAAGTCATTTTAGAGAAAGTATAAAAAGTGATTGTGAAAAGAGTAAAGTTGTCGTATAAAAAGTAAACACTATTTCAAAGCTCTTTTTCACATCTGTCAGCTTTGAGCTTTTAACTAGTAAATCACCCGTGCGATGCACGGTCGGAGAATTTATAACCCATTTTTCGTTCCAATTGTTTCTTAAACCTCAGGTGGCAAAACATTTGTTGATCATAAATCAAAACTCTTGAGTATGGTCACCCAGAAAGTACACAAATCAAGATTAAAGAAACATTAAACATAAAAATCTAATAACAAACAAAACCAAACTTATAGTGCAAATAAGTACAGGCACGGTTTAAGAACATAATTCAATGCAACCTTAAACGTTATTGAAAACTTCTTTGTAAAGAACATTTTGCGTAGCGTTACACGTCGCACCGCTCTCATTGCATATTTGCATATCAATATTTTCAAACCACGCCTATTGGTAACTCTTGAAATCGCAACATATAGCTGTCCATGCGTAAACACAGGTTTCTTCAACAACAACCCTACTCGGGACAACGATTGGCCTTGACTTTTATTGATAGTCATAACATATGAAATCATAATAGGGTACTGTTGTCTCTGAAATCTGAAAGGCAAGTTGGCATCCGAGGGGGTCAAGGACAATCTGGGAATCAACACTTTTGGTCCAGCACTAACACCAGTAAACATTTTCCTTCCAAAACATGATCGCAGAACCTGGTTAGAATTAGCCGAGTGCCGTTACACAACCCCATTGAATGAACAATATTTCTGAAAAGCATAACTGGAGTCCTGACCTTTAACGTCAACTTGTGATTGGGTACACCAGACAACTTAATGCTGTTTAGGAACTCGGGGGCATGCAATTCTGCCATCAGATCGGTCGTAAAATCTAGCTTTGAAACGCTGTCAGAACTAAGATACGTCCTAGAAACTTCGCCGAAGTTGAGACCCATCATATAATCATTAATAGTTTCTACCACGGCCAGTGTTGGGGCTAATATGGCACGATACCTCAAACAACTAATGTCACGCGCCGATGCAACGTACTCGGGGAAGCCATCATTTTCTTCGCCCAGCGCGCCGTCGCCAACGTACTCGGGGAATCCTAACGGCTATAGGATCAACATGGGTGTGAATCAACATATCCTCAGGGATATCAACTGTGGCAAAGCCATCATTTTCTTCGCCCAACGCGCCGTCGCCAACACCGGCAATCCACTGGGAAAAAAATCTTCAAATCATAAATTTCGGCCTCATTTGATAAATTGTGCAGAAACATGTTTTTTTTGTCAAACGAAGGCCGGTGCAATTAGACCACAAATACGACGAATTGATGGTTGCATTGACAACATCCTTTTTAATCCCACACATAATAAGACTAAAAGGCAAAAAATATTTGCAAATCTATTGAAATGGAATGTTTAGAATAATGATAGTTAGGCTAGCTGACAACACACTTTTTCCGCTTATGAATATTATGAACGAACTTTATGACCAAACATGGAACTTTTAATTGCCACGCTGAATGATGTAATTAGAAGAAAAAGTAAGGTTGAATGCACTTTTCTTGCTTCACCGGCTTAACTTACTATACCTAAACATTTAAGATATATTTAAATCAAATTTTTCCAAAAATTCTTAATAGGATATATTTTAAAAATATTGTTTACAAAAATAGGCGGAATAAGAAAAAAGCCTACTTAAGTCCAAACTTAATTAATTTCAGCGGAATCAGACAAACCGACAGATTTTAGTACAAAAAAACGGGTTGGATATATCAGAAATCTAACACCATTAAGTTCAAACTAAAACGTTATAACCCATTTGTAAATAATCAGCACTCGTATGGGCCGGCCCAATGAAAATTAACCCAACCCAAACCCAAGCCTTGTAATCCACGCCAACACACTCGTCAACCATACCCCCCAGAAATCACGCCGACACCCAAAATGCGGCCTCGCTCACTAAAAACCCTAACATAACGGTTGATACATGTGCAGCGAGCATTACAACCTCAGCAATCAACCTCCGTCAAGAACAAACAACCCCAGTCTCCCATGGCACAACCCCATACATCAAATCCGCCCACAGATTTTGGCCGAAATCGAAGCATCTACATCCGACAGACGTTCGTAGATCAGAGAAGAGAACGAAGCGACCTTGATACGCAAAATGAGCCACCGTCCGCAACCTACACCCGAGGTCTCCACGGTCATATCTCAGAGACTGAGGTACACTTTCTACGCTCAGATCTGCAAAATGCAAAGTAAGCTTAGTTACTGTTTTTTCATATCTTTGCATCTTCATTAGTTAATGATGAAAACGGGTTAATGATACAAATGGCAAATGACTGATAGAGAAGCTGATAGATTCCCAAGCAGAAAAGGTATATTTTTTATGCAGCTGAGTATTTTCCACACATATGTACTTAAACCAAGACTGGTATGCAGTGGGATCTGATCTGGAAATGTTTCTTTTCACCCAATCAAACCTATTCCCTGAGATGCAAACTGGAAGTGAATAAGGAAGAACCTGGGAGCTTTCAAAGAGGAAGAACAATTTTACTTACACCGGTAAGTTATTTCAACCCCTATACATTTGTACTCAAATTGCTATGTACTGGCCATTGATATGAAAAACCGATTCACACCCAATGAATAGTGGAATGAAATGATAACACCCACTCACACTTAACCCGAACCAATCACACACTAACAACATTGTTTTTTATTTGAAAACGAACCAATCAATATAAAGCAAATTTAAACAATACGATTTTGTAGTTCTTAACTTTGATGTGTTAAATTCCTATCCACACCACTAAGCTGACAAAATCACCCCAGACGTTTTTTTATGCATCGGTAAGTTTATAAATAATCAGAGCTTTAATTTATTTTAAAGAGTCATAAAACTGAATGCATATTTGTGAGAAGACTATTATCTGTTCCGGAACCAAATGGTTGCATTTTAATTAAACTGATTAAAATCATCCTGTTTGCATTAAGGCATCAGTTTCATATACATCATTTTCACACACAATAGGTTCCGTAAAATAAACATTTTTCAGCATTTGAACACTGGAACATAATAATCATATTTTCTTACCCACTAACCCTTGACCAAGACAAATTGGCCACCTGCATCATTATTTACGATCTCAAAAAACCGCCGAAACAGTCAAATGCATTTCGACAATATCATTATACGCAACTTCAAATGTTTGAAGATCATCTTAAAAAGCATTATAAGAGCTGTTATGTTAAACCGGTTGGGGGTTAATAGTTTGTGTATTATCAATTAAACAATTTTTTTATAATGTTTATATTATCTATTACGGAGCATAATCTAAAGGCATGGTATAAAGGCTGCCTGGGTGAAACTAACTGCCCTTGACATGCCAGCCAATCGGGGGGGGGGGGGGCATATATGGGGTATAAAGGCTGATAAAAATTATGTTTTTTTCGTGCCCACTGAGAATTTCTAACTACCATAGTTTGGGATTTTAAGGAAAACTTTATCTTATCTATTAATTATACACACATTTGATGAACAGGAACATTAGCTCTAGTTCACCGAAGCGTGAATCAGAATCTGAGTTGAAATTGGCGGATTGCTTGGATGCTTCAGATAATCTATGCCTGAAGAATTTCGTTTACATGTAATTTTTATTTTTTTCGTTTTGAAAAAATTGTAAAAATTAGATATAGGGTAGATTTAGTCTTGCTCAAGCAAATCCGGACCAGATAACAGGTATGCATCTCTACGCCTATCTTCATCCCATGCAAACATGTTTTCATGGACATTGGTAAATTCAAACCACTCACGAAAACTTAATAATTGTTATTTTCCAACCAATTGTATTTTCCCAAAAGACTGAATTTTTAACTCTTCTCCACAGTAATCTCTTAAAAGCAACATTCACGCAATCCATTCAAACTCGGATTTATATTTGTATTAATACCATGCACCTTTTTTGGAAACAAAAATATTTTTTATAAAACCACACAATTTTATAATTCATGTACTGAACTGCATACTGTTTTTAACCCTCTAATGCATACCTATACTTCAAGACAATGCACAACACATCACACACTACGGCATGAAGATATTATTGCAACCACGTCCAACCTGTTTGTGTTTATGTTTTATTTGCCTGCTGTGAGCTGTGGAGAATTGTAAAGTTGGCATGCCTGCATTTATAACCGTGTAAAAGGCCTCAATCTCAAACCCAAACAGTGTCCATTCCTGTCTCCACCAATAAGAATTGATTATTGATCTGGGGGGAACTTATTTTCAAATTTTGAATTCTGAACAGTGATACAAAATCAGGCCAAATTCTCGTCCTTATTAAACTCACTGTGGGCCCAGAAACAGGCCAATGAAAATTAGGTATTGTGGGTCAAAAATCTAGAATAAATCTACTCCCCACTCACTCGTTGTATCCTAATAATAGGGATGGACCCGGGCCGGGCCGGTTCCGGTTCCGGGCCGGGCCCGGGCGGGCTTTTTTTCGGGTTACATGGGCCCGGAACCGGCCCGGGTTGATACCGGGTCCGGGCCTAACCGGGCCGGGCCGGGCCGGGCCGGTTCCGGTTCCGGGCCGGGCCCGGGCGGGCTTTTTTTCGGGTTACATGGGCCCGGAACCGGCCCGGGTTGATACCGGGTCCGGGCCTAACCGGGCCGGGCCGGGCCGGGCCCGGTTCAATGTTTTTTTTTTTTTTTTTTTTTTTTTGACTTTCTTGTTATCTCCCTACCCCCCCCTCACCCCCACGCCCCAAACCTCCCTAAAACACCCAGCTCTACCCTAGGAAAAGAAAAAAAATTGAAAAAACCAAAAAAAAAAAAAAAAAATGAACCGGGCCCGGCCCGAACCGCCCGGGCCGGTTCAACAAAAACAGGGCCCGGAACCGGCCCGCCCGACCCGCCAAAACGGGCTAAAAGCCCGGAACCGGCCAACCGGGCCCGGTCCGGTTCGGGCCCGCACAGTAGCGGGCCGGTCCGGTTCCGGGCCGGTTCGGCCCGGCCCAGTCCATCCCTACCTAATATACTAACCAATCGTAAAACGCTAAGGAGATCCAAAAATCTGTATGAAATCTCAACAGTGCCCAAAGTTGCTCTATCCATTCATTCCACACAAAAAAATCTAATGCGGGCCCCAACATCAAATTTACCTACTCAGCATACACTCAGCAAACCTTTGTACACGGAGCATAAACACAAAGGAACTGAAAGTGACGTTTTTGGGGGGGAAACTTGCCCCAAAATCATTTTGCTTTTAGATTATAATAATAGATTTAAGTAAATATTGTCCTTCGAAAACATTCATTTTAGCTTTTTTTAAGTCATAAGCTGAAAAGTATTTTTTTAAGTTTTAGCACAGACTCCTTCAGTTAAATATATTATCATAAAAATTATTTATATACTTCTTTTATAATTTAATATAAATACTCATTTAATTTAACTATATACTCATTAGGTGATGTATCGTGTGCATGGTAGAGCTGATTGTACCATATAATTTACTTTTCACATGCCCCCAGAGAAGGAGAGGATATATTTTTAATTGGACTGGTTTTAGTCAGACGAAATTTGATCAAATTATATCAGATCGTATCAGAACAGATTAGATCAGCTCATATCGGGTCAAATTTTAATTATAATAAAATACATGAAGTACAAACATCTATTGATCAGACCCCACCAATTCATATCAAATCAAACTTAAACATAACGAACCAGACCCGACCAGATTAGATAAAAAATTAACCATATTAGGAACATGCTATTATAGTGTTGGGATATTGGATCCCTACCTACTAATTATCCTGGAGACCCAATACACTAGCCCGTACGGAATTCGATAAGGGAGACCCATCTCAGCCCGCTAGGGCAGAATTGCACACCATCCTCCTTTTCCTATAAATAGAAAGCTTTGGATCCCTCTTTTTCTTCTCCTTCTACTAGTCTTCTTCTTCCCTAGCATAGAAAGCTGGTAAAACTCCATAAATGGGAGCCTTTGTACAATGTAATAATGTTAAGAGAGATTAATAAAAAAGATTGGTCTGGACATTAGCCGAAAAGTTTGTGGCGAGTAGAATGTAGTGATGCTTTTATATCTGATCTATATACATGTGATGATGCGAACCCGATGAATTTTTTAGGTTTTACAAGACTTGAAGTGGACGTCATGTTCTTGCTACTAGGATGATTAACAACCTTCATTTCTATCATATAACAAAGATTTTATGTTTTTATTTATTAAATAAAAATTAAAATATTCTTTTAATCTATTACTAGTATGTGTTAACTTACTTAAGTTTGACCTTTGATGTTTGGAGTGATTAGAACTTCAAATAATTTTTCAATGCTTGAGCTTTGAATTTTAGATGTTTTTATGTGGCAGAAAGTATATTATGTAGTATTAATTCTTAGATGAAAAAAATTATTCTATGAACCGATAAAAGCAAGAACCAAACTCTTTAGTAACCAAATCGATTTCACGAGTTAAAATTTATAATTTAACGCTTCCACTCATCTTGAGTAAGAACCTAACTGGTCCCGTGTCTATCCTAAACCATGTTGTTCCTTTGACTAAAGTAGATTTACATCTGGGTTGGTCTAGGACCATGCGTCAAGGCCAAGGGGATTGTACTGACCAATGCATGCCCAGTGTGTTTGTAGTATGGTTCTCTAACTTCTAGTTGGTTCTGTTATTGTGGATCCTCGTCTGATCGAGGGGTACAATCAAGGTGGGTGGTTTAGACTGTTTTGGTTTGCTTATGTATCTATGAGTATGTGAGCCGTGAGTGTGAGCTATAGTACTACATCACTCATCACCTATCAAGCTATCAATGTCAATCTCTTTGAGTGTTTCAAACTCTATTGATATCAACGTCAATATGTTGAGTCTCTTTTTGCGACATACTGTTAGGTGTGTTTCGAAAAATAAAGAAAAAATTAATTAATAAAAATTAATTAAATTTGGTGACTAAAGAAAAACAAGAAAAGAGATGGAACAGAAAGTAGTCAAAGCTCGTGCTACACATGATTTTCTTAAAACATATTTGTTGCCTCCCGGGATGCTAGGAGCGTTGCAAGAATCATTCACCAGGATACGATGACTAATGAGCAACTGTTTAAGCACTTAAACGATTGTTCCGGTGAACGTGAACAAAGGTAGAATACAAAGGAATTTTCGGAAGTAGCTGAGGTGTTTTTAGCTATGAAATACGCGAAGGAAGTGTATTGTGTGTTGTAAATTGTTGCAAACCACCAGCAACTATTTATAGGAGGATTTGTGGTGTGTTAAGTGACATTTAATGGACCTGAACGTTAGACATAAATGGCTAGCGCGTTGGGCATTAATATGTCGTGAAATTGTCCATTTAAAGAAGCATTAAAAGATAAGAACGTTGAGCAATAAATTGTTGTAACATCCCAGCAGGTGGCTGCTGCGCAGCTGGCGGCTGCGTCCCAGCAGTAGGCTGCTGCGGCTGTTCAACACGGAGCAGTCGGCTGCTGCTCTATTTCAACGAGTGAACTTCGAGAATCAATTTCTCATTCACCCGTTACCCGTTTTGAGTGTACCACATATCGAATTGTAGCCCTTAACAAGAACAATCCGAAACCACTTTGACCCGATCCAAATCGGAAGTGGACCCCACTCAAAAAATTGCCCCAAAATGACCATTTAATGCAATTTATTAACACTTTTTCTAACACTTTTTCCAACACATACTTGGGTTAAGGATAATGAATTACAAAAACAATTACTACGAATATTATAGTGTAAAACAATTGCGAAATTAACAACTTAATAACACACGTATACAAGTATGTTAAATGAAAACTTATTTACTTAATTACCTGATCAAATAAATAAGGAAAACAACAACCTAGTATGCTAAAAACGTTTTTTTATGATTTTTTTGAATGGAAAACCGACATATTATATTAAATCAAAATGCCTAATATATAACCGAGAAAACAATACAATCGAGCAACAAACAAAAGCCTTAAACTCCTTCTAACCAACATTAATCATAAGCCCGCCGGCCCCCTCACACCTTGATCAGACATAGAGTAGTCCACCCCAAAAAGAGCGAGACTAATCGCTAAACATGTGAGAGCTTCGAGGCTATTAACGGTTGAGTCAGCCTGACTGCCTCCAAACAAAAACCTAGCAACTAGAATAAAACAAACAACACACCTAGCGCCATTATTGTTTAACAAAATAATAACAAAATAAGAAATAGAAATTAGAAAATAGCACAGGTAAATAATCTTCGAGTGCTGGACCAGTTGAATCCGTTCTTCAAGCATCTTCTTCCAACCCCTAAATTCACAAATCTTCAGTGGTGGCGGTTCATCAGGAGGGAGACGAATCAACACCGCTCCTTGCTCTTTCTTCCACACTTGTACTGTGTATTCTCCATTCCCCCTCATCTGTCTATCCATCGCTAGGTGATATCTACCCTTGGCTAGGTGAGTTGCTCCTTTCACCGGGGCCCAAATTGCCCATGATCCTCCTGGATCAAACACCTCCGCTACCAATGCCATCTTAGACACCAATAGAACCAAAATTGCCAAGACAAACAACGGAAAATCAAACCTCAACATTGTTGCTCCGCTGGACCGCGCAAATAGCATCCCTGGGATGCATCTTCTGTCTTCCTCAAGGCCAAATCGACGCAGCTCTAATGCAGCCCTGTTCCCAGATCTTCCTCTGCCTACCGCTGGATTGGAACCGGCTAAGAATTGAATAGATCCCTCACCAAAGACGTTTTTTTATGAATATTACTCCTAAAATAAGGAATGACAAAAAACTATCTAAAGATTCAAAATTCCATAAATGTGACCACTACAGTTCAGTTACGTGAGAGCGGAAATAAGGGATTTATCTAACATGCACGTTATTTAAAAAAAAAATCTAACATGCACGTTACAGACTTTTATGCTAGAAAACAGGAAAGATTCTCATTACTTAATGATATACAGAGTAACTGGAGTCATTGCTATTTAGGATCCCTGCTTTTTTGTATTGTGTGTCGTGGGATGGAGTTGAAAATATTTAAATGTTTAATTTTGATAGCTAGAGTATCACTGACTACCTTAACCATAATAAAGCACCCATTTTCTATCACTAACAAGGTTTAACTGAGGTTTTGATGGTAAGTGTCAACAATGGTCACTTAAGTTGGAGCAGAGTCACTAATAGTGCTTTTAATGTATTGTAACTGTCCGTGGTGGTCAATATGATTGGGCGAAGTTACTAACAAGACTTCAATAGTAATTGTAAATGATGTTCACTATCGTTGGTGACCGCCTAACCTCCTCAGTGACTGCCTCAAACATTTTTGTCACCGCCATTAATTACTACCACCGCCGCCATACGTCGTCACCACCACATCAATAGTGACCATTAAATTTCTAATATAAATATCGTAGTGGTTCCATATTTTTTAGGGAAAAAATTGATAGTAATAATCCCAACTATTGACGGTCCGCTCATAATAATCTCAACTATCGATTATTTTAGAATAATCCCAACTTTGGGGACCTTCCGCCAATAATGGTCCGACGTGACCGACTATATATAAGTTTCTATAGTTTCTAAAGTGGATGAGAAGAGATATAACAGATAATCCCTATAAATAAATCCAACTTTTTATTTTTACGCTTAATTCTATTAAAAAACACCTGTTATAGAAGATAATATCCGGTCATGGACCATTATTGGCGGACAGTACATATAGTTGGGATTATACAAAAATAATCAATAGTTGGGATTATTGTTAGCGGACCAACAACAATTGAGATTATTTTCAATTTTCCCTATTTTTTAGTCTGTCAGTGACTTGTGTGTGGGCACAAGTCAGTGATCAGGGTCATTAGGGTGGGAAAAAAAAGGTTTAATGAATTGATTGCAATTAGTGCGGGTAAGGTTCCGGTCATTGCGGTTAAAGTTTAAGTGACTCCGGCTAGGATTCTAGTAATTGCTAGTCATCGTAACTCCTTACTCAAATCGGTGACGACCTTACCCAACCACCACCTCAGCGCGAGAAGGAGAAGAAGAAGACGATACCTTGAGAATAAGTTGTCTTTGTATCCAAGTATCCACCTTATTAGGGGTGGTTCGGTACGGTATACCTTATATTTTTTCTCATACCTTTGCCGTACCAAAACTTTCGGTATGCAAAATTTGCATACCTTTACCTTACCGAAGTTTCGGTATACCGCATTTCGGTATACCGAAGTTTTGGTTCGGTAACGGTACGGTATCGGTAAATTACCGTGCATGTCTCTCAATACAAAAAATTATCATAGACTAACGAAATATACTAAATCGTTATTACTAGCGACATATTAAATCTATTATTAAAGTGTTACGAAGTACAATTAATAATATATTGATGTCAATTCAATACTAAACAATAATTATTATTAGTATATTTAAGCAGTTCAACATGCCACATATTAAAAAGTAACACATTCTCCTAAAATAACTTGAACAATATGGATATAATTAAATCAATAGTGATCTCTAACAAGAATAAATAAAACTATTAAAACAACATGAATATAAAATCATTTATTCCTAATATGATATTGTGTATTTAGTCATTTTTATAATTTTTTAAAAATTGAATAAGACTTTCGGACAAAGTTGTGTGTCTCGACTCGCGGAATCTCTATGTAGATACATAAGTGTATCTCATAAGTGTATCTCTCTTCACTCGTCAGCTACTTAGCGGCCCAGCCATCACGACTTGCAAACTCTTGGAACAAGATGGACTTGTTTCTTGACATTTGTACATTACTCATTAGTCATTAAGGTTAGCGTAATAGAAGCTTATAAGGTTATAGTGGGTTTTTGAAATTGGGCCTTTATTTTTGTATTTGTAACCAACTTAAGTATTAATTTTGGCTTCGAAATTGTAATGGATTTTTACAATATATTAGAATTAAAAGTAATTGTTGAGTAGAGAGTCGGTACGGTATTATACCGGTATACCGCGGTATTTGAAAACATTTACCGTTACCGTACCGAAATAGATCGGTACGGTATGATACCGTACCGAAAATGACGGTATACCAATATTTCGGTATTTTCCGGTATTTTTCGGTACGATAAGTGCGGTATACCGATTTTTCGGTATTTTTGCCCACCCCTACACCTTATTGTCATGTGCATTAATTTTTAGGTGGAGAGTAAATGAGTAATGTTCATCAATGAGACAAATTCACTGATGCAAGCATATGTGGCGCGGATGTAGAGAAATCATTAAAACGAAAGGTGGAGTTAGAGAGAGATTAGGGTTATTAAATACGGTTGATTTTTAATAAGTCAATACAATTGTCCAATTAAAATGATAGTCATATTTTAGGAAATACAAAGGTCATTAGTAGTATTAATGTCATTTTTTCTATGTTAAACTCGATTATAAGTTACTCAATTCTAATAAATAACTAAAATAAGCAATCCAATCACATAATAATCAAGGAAATTAATAACACATAAGAAAATTAACTAATGATCATAAATTCTGTAATTGATAATTAAAAGATGGAATAGAAACAGAGAAACCTTACCTAGTTCAGCACTTTAGCGAGCCCTGCAAGCACGAAGCGATTCAGGCATTCAGTAGACTGCACCCTGAAGGCTTGGCGCAGTGGCGGCTTGGTACAGTGGCAGCATTCAACGTGTCGTCCCTTTGTCCCCTGTAGAGCCAAATACTGATGTGACGATTGGGCATCAGTGTGTTGGTAGCTATGAAGCACGGATACTTCACTAGGGTAGCGTATCGGCGTATCCGATACGTTCCCGTATCCGATACTCTAGGATACCCGTACCGTACGTTCCCGAGCCGTATCTGCAATTTTTAAAAGTTTCCACTTTTTTTTGTAATTTTTTGAAAGTTTCCGATACTCGTATCCTGACGGATACCCGTATCAACTTTTTTTTTTAAAAAAAAATCCCAAAATTTACTTGATAAAATTCTAAAAAAAATGAAAATCTAAAACTACATTTTACTTGGTAATCAAATAATGGGCCCATATGGCTATATCCGAATTAAGTCATTAACTCACACTCCGAATTGGGTACTTCCACTTTTAATTTTAAAATTGTAGTTGTTTCACTTATTTCTCGTTTTAAATTAATGACTTATTGACTACATTTATATTTCGAGATACACTAGTGTATATGAGAAATATTATGAATTTATAACCAAGTATCTTGAAAAAGGAAAATGTTTCAATGCAATGAATGGGTAGACATCATAGCATAGTATATGTATGTATGTATATATATATATTAAA